GCCCCAGAGGTCCACGCCCCAGGTTTGAGAAGAAGCGCATAGCGCTCCTAACTCCGCTTGCGGGTTCGGGGGGTGGGGGGGGTTGGGGTAATCTCGCGATCAGAAGCGAGTGGATTGCCAAGAGCAACCAAGCGCATCAAGCGCCGTAGTTGCGACTAAGACGGTCAAACAGATTAACGTCCAGGAACTCGAGTGAATAGCTCCCAGAAACCAGCTCGAACATCTACAGATTGGCCTTCTCGTGCACCAAACACAAGGATGTCCTGCTTGGATTTGTGGATGCCTGGAGTTGATCAACACCCCCCCCGGGAGTTGAGTACGTCCGATTTAAGGGGGAATATGTATCACATCTGTTCGCTGCCGTTGTTTTCCTCTTCTTCTTTTTTTTTTTGGGGGGGGGAGCCACCCCTGTCAATCAACGAGATTTGCGAAATCAAGGGGTCAACATGACTCTTGGGGGAAGATATGTGCAAATCTCCAATCTAAACATGTTTGCCACCGAGCTGATTTGCAGTCTCGTTTTGAACCTGCGGGACTTGCTTTGACAAAACCAAACGCACGGGCATGCCCAAACTTGCGCCTCAGTGGGGAATGTGGGAATGAACCCAGGCTTTGGTCCCCTTGAAGGAAACCACGAGAATTGGATGGTTTATACGGGTCATTCCCTCCTTCCCTGCTGAATCTCGGAATGACTTCAGGGGGTTCCCGTAAAGGAAACCACAAGAACTGGCTGGTTTAAATCTCGGGATCATTCCACAAAGGGCGATCGCATCCAGCTCGCCGCGAAAGAAAGGTTGGCTCAAGGGGCCTTCTGGCTGAAGGCAAGGCCTGGAGTCCTGAGGCCTGGGACATGACCCCAGCATCCCGGGTGAACTGGAAATCCCTCCAAAATGGGTGGTGTGGAGTGAAAGGAGGGGCAAGCCACCTTTTGCCTTCGGTGCAAATCCCCAACTTAGCTGAGGAAATCACCGAATCCTGCTGGGGGCCTGCTGGGGGCCTGCTGGGGTCAAGGGGGGGGGGGAGGGAGCCCCAAGCTCCAAATAAGGCAACTTATTAGGGGCTTAATAAGGGCTTATTTTGTCTCCTCCCTCCTCTTCCCCCCCAGCCCCCATGAGCCAATGCTCTCGCATGTGGCGTTGCTTCGATTGAGCCCATGCTCATCGCATGCAGTTGTTTGTAGTTCGCATTTGTGGCATAGCCCAACACAGTGGCTGTGACTTGCAAAAAAACGCAGCGCTCACTGTGAGAGGTATTCCTGGCAAGCGATACCCCTTGCCCCCTGCCCAATTCTCAAAGAAAACCCTGTTTCAGGGCCCTCGCGAGCCGCGAGCCCACGCCTTGCCGAAATGGCTAGTAGACTTCGTCACCGCGATCTTTGCCTGGACAATACTGAACTGCAGCAAACGAGTCACACAACCATTTCAACTGACGGTGGCAAAAGCCCGCAGCCTTGGAGTGCTTGGTTGGTTATTAGTACAGGTCCCCAAAGGTCAAGAAGATCAGCCAAGCGGCCAAGAGCCACCGGAGCGAGGCAAGACGAGTCGCACGGCCGGCCAGCTCGATGCAAAATCTGAAGACACACTCGCAGTTTGGACCCACAGACAAAAGCCTTTTCGGGCCACAAAAGATGGTTCCCGGAAGGTGGAACCAAAAGGTCAAAAGGTCGATTCGATTTGCATAAAAAGGGACCAAAAAAAAGGGGGAAACCGAAACGTCTAACGGTCGATTCGCTTTGTGCCAAAGTCAGCAAGCATTCGCTGGTCGACAGTTCTGTGCACTTTCCAAGCCGCCCCCTCCCCAACGACTCATCGATTTGTGCCCAAAGGACGAACAGATTGCAAAGATCAGCCCTCGTGCTTCCGGCTTTTCCTTACATGCTTTCCCTATCACTCCTGACCAGATTGGCCAGAAATGGTCTCAACTTTCTTTACCACCACCCTGGTAGCCCAAAACAAAGGAACAGCAGACATTCAAAAGAAAAAAACACTTGGAAACCCTTTGGCCGGTGGTTTGAACCTGGCCACAAAACCCCACCGGAAGCCCCCTCCCTCGCTGGTCACACGAGCCGCCCTTCGCGCGCTTCGCCGCTTCTTTCTTCTCACGCGCCCGCGGCAGCGTCGCAGATCTGGACCAGCATCTCCTGGGCCCTCCGCACGTTCCGCAGCTTCGCCTCGCTGTCCTGGCGCTCGTGACGAGGGCGCGCGCGTGGCGCTTGCGCGTGGGCGCGCGCTTGTGGGTGGGAAGGAGGTGACTTCGGGCGGGGGGCTCTTGCAGGCGGTACCTGCAGGTGACTTGGGGTTTCCTGATCGCTGTGCTTGGCCAATCAGCAAACACCATGTGTATGTATTGGGGGGTTCGGACCATAGCAAATTGCATGCTGCGAATGGTGGCGAAATCCAAAACACACCAGGAAATGAACCATGGGAATGAATCCAGTACGGTTCTTGGAAGTTACATTGGGAACGAATCAGAAACCGTGGTTCCACAGTATGTTAACTTCCCCGCCATGGCCGGGTGAAGCAAAAAATGGTCTCATGGAGGAACAGCCTCCCACCGTTTGGAGCCGAATCGAAAAAAATCAAATGGGGGAGGAATGGCCTCAAAACTCTCAAATCCCAAACCAATCCAAACCATGTTTGGCCCAGAGGGAACAACCATGTCCAGGGTTCGGGTTGAATACAATGCCTTTCAGGAACCAGTGGTTGAAATCAGAGCGCCGATTTTGTGACACTGAACGCCATGTTCAAAACTCCAAATCGCCGGTTGTGTGTGTGTGTGTGTTTTGGCTCTTGAAACTTCATCGATTTGCCTTTCTGCCTTCTTCATCTCTTGCCCAAACAAACGCGGAAGTGGAAAGACTGCGCTTTACAGGGACCAAGTGTCTGGCTGGTGCATGGGAACCAGATCATCAACTCCTCATTCGCGCACCGTCCCCCAAAAACTGGGTGCAGCCGTACTTCTTTGCTTGGGGGGTTTGTGACCCATCCAATAGCCTCCTTATTATGCCATCAAAGTCACAAAACAAATCCGTGGTAGGAACAACCAACCAGTGCATGCCTTTGACAAGCTCCAAAGGCAGTGAAAATAAGGATCCCAGTGACTAGCAATTGGCGGCTTGGCTTGGCTTGACAATTTTGGTTGGGCTGGGTAAAACGTTCGTTGGGCTTGGTGGTTTGGATGTGAGCTACCTTTATAAGGCCACGAAAAGAAACAAGAAAGAAAAGAAAGCAAAAACAAGCATACAGAACAAAGAAGAAACAAGGGGATAAAAGAAAGAAAAAACAAACAATCGAGGAAACAAAAACATGGAAAAAACAAGAGAAACCAACAAGAAAAACACACACACACACACATCCCTGGGCTCTCCTTGCGCCTCTGTCGGAGCTCCTCTGGCTCCCTAATCCAGCCGGAGATGTCGACACGTCGGCGGATTTTGGGGGAGCCGGGGGTCCCTGGAAGGAAATGGAGCCAAAATGGTCGCCTGAGCCGTCTTGGGATGGATTGGGATGGTTAGGATATGGATTGGGGAGGCCACCCCATGTGGCAAAAAGAGAGAGAGAGAGAGAGGCCACACCCCTCATTGGAGGGGGGGGGAAGGAAGGCTTAGACAGTAGGATGCTATTACCTGATTGGCCCTTCCTATGGCTGCGGCTCGGAAAGGCACCCCGAGCCACCAAAGTCGGACCCTGAACATAGGCCTCGGCCTCCATCTGGGTTCCAGCCGCAGTGGGTGGTACCGAGCCCCAAGAGAGACCCAATGGATGCTTCATTGTCCAAACCTCCGATGGCTGTGGTCATTGTTCCCCTGTGATTTTTTGTTTGCATTGCTTGTCGAAATGTTACCGTCCATGGAAGCATTGTATACCCCTCTGCGCTTGCTGCCATTCCTGGGCAAGCTCGTTCCACAGCTCCCTTTTCCCCCTCCTCCTGCAACCCTAGCCCACTGCTCTGAACCAGTCACGATATGACCACTCAAGGGCGACTTGCGTGCGGCGGATGCATAAAACTTGACAAAAAGCTGCAAATTGAAGCGGGTGGGGTTTGGAGGTTGCTTCAAGTGCTCAACTTTGGTTTCTGAAAAGTACTTGGTGCTGGTTTGTAGTGCTTATTCTTTTTGAGTTTTTTCCTTGCTCCACTTCGGAGTTGAATCTGGGGCCAAATGTGCTTCGAATTTGCGGCTTGGTCGGGGGCGCCTAGGATACTGTGGTGTGGCGGCAGCGTGGTGATCATGTAATCCCAACATGGTCTTCCGGACGCTGAAACTTAAAGGGTCCAAAAATCGGACCCCTTAGCGTCGTCAGCATGCGAACATCAGCATGCGCTCCCATGGGTCGATGTCATTCTACTTTAAAGGATCTGATCCGAGGTGATGTAAGGTAGCCCGATCCTAAAAAATATCCACCTCAAACCTACCTACCTGCGGCTGCAGTTGTGGCAGCAGCTCGGACTTGTACAAGGCACCGATGCACTCCGCGTGTAGGACTTTCTGGCCCAAAAAGACACGTGGCTGTGGGTCCAAAAATAGGTACCCAAAATGGAACCCCGGTAAGTGGCAACATGGAACCACAAAAAGTCCCAAAGCTCTATGGGTATGTCCCTTGTCAAGGGTGTTTGAAGGGAAACAAAGGAGAACTGCTGAAACACATGGCCATGGGTCAAAATCCAAATCGCTGCTTAGTGAACATCCCAATCCAACCACTAAGTAGGTTCTAGAATGGATGGTGAATTCACCACCCCAAAATCCATGGTATTTCCGGGATGCTGGCTGGTAAGAAATGTCCAATGGGCATTTTGCTTACAATTCACCAGCCGGTAATGAGGGAGCCTTATGAAAGAAACCTTCCTGACGTCGCACACCACACCCTGTAACGTGGCGGCACGATTTTGCCAGAATCTATCCACCATATGGGTTTGTCTCAAATATGAGAACCCCCAGAATGAGGTGGGGGGGAGGAATTCCTTGGTTCCCCCAAAAAGGGCACGGCACCCGAGCGCCAAGTTCAGTCCTTGGTAGCATTGACCATGAAGTGCCTGGACGAAAGTCGCGAACTGTGAGTCTTCTCTTTGAATTATTGCCGGCTGTGCCGCTGGAAAGAACATCCCTCTTTACCCATATGTGGGCAGCTTAAAATTGTGGACCCCGGCAGGGCGGTTTCAAAGGAACACACCATAAGCAAACAAAGCGGGTTGCGGATCCCCTATTCTGAGCAACACCCCATATGCCTTTGGTGCTGGCTTGAAGAGGGTACGCACGCCGCTCTTCGAGGGCGCTCAAGGAGGACGTTCAGGCTCCTCATTTTGGGGACGAAAAAATCTGGCGGAGGAGACATAAAAGTAGCAACCACCTCGGGGTGTCTCCCAATCTTGAGAAACTTGCCTTCATGAGTGGACTGGCCAAAACAAGTTCAAACTTTGTATGTACCACTAAAATGATCTTCCCAAAAGCTTAAAGTCAAGAACTCGGGAGGAGGAAACACCTTAGGTCTTCCAACCCCCCAGTTTCGTTTACTTTCGGGACTGGACCGGCCTTTACGGGCTTCGGCTCGCTCTCGCAACGAAGGGGTTTTCGAAGGGCCCAGCTACTCACTTCCCCTCAAGCGCCTGGCATGCTGACACAGAACTTGGGAATGAAACCCGATTTGGGTGTGCCCCTCTTTGACAGTACTAATTGTTTGGTAGGTGTTGAAGAGGACACCAAAAGAAAACCAGCCATTTTGCAGCGATTCCACAAAGAAAGACACCCATTTGAGGGCTGGTTGACAAACACATCCACCAACTGCCAATCCTTTCCATTGGGATTTGCCCCCCACCACCCCATCACCCGCACCCCACCCCATCCCACCCACGCCGCACCCCACCCCACATCACCGCACCCCACAACACCCCCACACCACCGCACCCCACCCCACCCGCACCCCCACCACCCGCACCCCACCCACGCAAGTCCAACGATTTCGGGCACGGCGCATGATGGTTTTGGGCACGGAGTCGATGAGCTTCCGCTTCACGATAGTGAAGTAGGACAGCAGCAGGCTCTTTAGCAGCTCTGTGTCCATGCCTTCCTACGAAAACTCGTTGACGTTCAAGGGAGCAAAAAGACTAAATTTTTAGCAGTTAGAGTAGTTTGGATTCCAACCACTCAACCACAATAAGCAAAAATGTAGATGTTTCCCAATAACAACCATGCAAAAGGTGTTCAAAACCACGTAAGTAGGTTATTAGCAGGGTTAACGTTGATCCCATGTGAATCAACCCCAGTTGATTAATAGCGGGAGTGTCCAGGGTGGAAACGTGAAATCATCGCAGGAGGGGAACACCCCCTTATTAATTAGAGTTCCCAGCGGTTCAAAAAACGTGGTGGACCAAAACAGCACATTTATCATTTATCCAAGAAAAGGTTTTGCCGGCGAAAGATCCACCCAACAAGCCGCGACGAAAAAAGCTCCGAGCCGTCCTTCTCCGACGGGGCGCCTGCCGGCATCACCACCAGCGGCACTGGAGGCAGCCGTATCACATCGTCTGGCTGTGACGCGGACGACGCAGCCGGAAGCGCCGGCGACAGAACCGGCGGCTCTGGCGCCTGCTGCGAAGGCGAAAGCGCATCAGGCCGAAATGTGGGGTTGATAAAGGTCAGTAAACGTAGGTATGACCATCAGGGAAACCACCAAAAGGATCCCACGAAAACATCTTTCCCACTAAACGGAAAAAGTTACCCATGGTCATTTGGGGGCAGGAATCTTCCTTGATCAGCGCCCATGTATGTGTGTGTGTGTGTGTGTGTGTGTGTGTGGGTGTGGGTGTGAATTGATAGTGTGGGTGTGGGTGTGGATGTGGGTGTGGGTGTGGGTGTGGGTGTGGGTGTGCGTGTGCGTGTGCGTGTGCGTATGCGTGTGCGTGTGCGTGTGCGTGTGCACATGTGCGTGTGCGTGTGCGTGTGCGTGTGCGTGTGCGTGTGCGTGTGCGTGCGCGTGCGCGTGCGCGTCACGCGTGCGCGTGCGCGTGCGCGTGCGCGTGCGCGTGCGCGTGCGCGTGCGCGTGCGCGTGCGCGTGCGCGTGCGCGTGCGCGTGCGCGTGCGCGTGCGCGTGCGCGTGCGCGTGCGCGTGCGCATGCGCATCGCGGCGATGCGCGTGCGCGTGCAGCGTGCGCGATAGCGTGCCGCGTGCACATGCGCGTGGTCTGTCTGCGTGCGCGTACGCGTGAACGCGTGCGCGTGCGCGTGCGCGTGCGCGTGCGCGTGCGCGTGCGCGTGCGCGTGCGCGTGCGCGTGCGCGTGGGCGTGGGCGTGGGCGTGGGCGTGTGCGTGGGCGTGTGCGTGTGCGTGTGCGTGTGCGTGTGCGGTGTGGGGGTGTGGGGGTGTGGGGGTGTGGGGGTGTGGGGGTGTGGGGGTGTGGGGGTGTGGGGGTGTGGGGGTGTGGGGGTGTGGGGGTGTGGGGGTGTGGGGGTGTGGGGGTGTGGGGGTGTGGGGGTGTGGGGGTGTGGGGGTGTGGGGGTGTGGGGGTGTGGGGGTGTGGGGGTGTGGGTGTGTGGGGGTGTGTGGGTGTGTGTGTGTGTGCGTGGGTGTCTTTCTTGAAAGCTGCCCACGTGTTTAGGGTTCGTTCAAAGCCCGCTATGGGTTTATCTCAAACTAGGCCCCCCCTAATGTTGTGTAGTTATTTTTCCGAGCAAGTGTCTTTTGTTCAGGACCCCCCCCACGAAGAAAAAAAAGAGCTGGTGTTCCTTGTGCTTCCCTTTTGACCAACCCACAAAATCTCACAAGGGATCGGAGAATGTCTGACTTTTTCCAGACCTCCTACACTCACAATGCAAGGAAACAATAAAACCCTGCAATCTACTCTGATTGCCATGGTTTGTGGTTGTTCATGTTGCATTCAGGAATCATGTTGACCCCTGATTTATTCCCCCCCCCCAGTTATTAATCAAGGCATTCACCTGGAGCTTGCTGTACGCAGCTGCTTGTGACATCTGGTGTTTTCGTCTCACTGGGGTCCAGTAAACGGCCTCAAGGACTGCGAAACCCATGAACTGTTGGTTCTAAGATGGTTCTTTCCAACCCTTGGTAGCCTAGCACAAACTGAACAGAGCCATCAAAACACTAAGACCCGAAAAGCAAAACCTGTGAACAACAGTGAAGGGGTGGCATAGGCTTACATAGGCCTCACACAAATCCTACCACATCGCACCTAGCATGGCCATTTCCTTCAGGGCTTTCGGGCATCGGGCGCTCACAAACTCCCTCGCCCCCCTACGACACCGCCCTGCGACACCGCGGGTGTCTCTTGAAATTGGAATGAAGAGAAATTCAACCTAGAAATCTGTTTGTGGATTAGAACCCTAGAATTGAGATTCTTGGCGGGTTCTTGCAAGTCCCGCTAGAGAAAAAGTTGAAACCTGCCTGCCCACGCCACCCACCCAGCCACCCACCCACTTCCAGCCCACTTGGAGACCCCACTTCACGACCCCAGGTGTGCTGGGTGAGGCTCGGGCGGCCATGTTTTCAGAAGTACCGAGGGGCGGAAGCGGCGGAAGCTCCGGTCTCCTCCCCGCTCTGCACACAGGACATGGCCCCCAGGCCGCCGATGAAGTCGGGGTGGTCCACGTTGATGAACTCCCGCTCGATGCGGATCAGGTTGGACACCATGTTGGTGGCCGGCCTGGGAGAAGGGCTGACAAAACGATATGGTTCGAAGTTCCAACCCAGAAAAAAAACCATAAACATCACCCCACAAACTGGCCCAAAGGTCATGTTTAGAACCAAAAGGGCTTCCAACTATGTGGCTGTGGGTCAAGACCCTGTACCCCTTGTGAACATCAAAGTAGCTGGCAAATGGATGTTCATCCACCTAAAATGGAGCCATAGGTTTTGACCCACAGCTATATGTCCAACCCAGAAAAACTCATAAACATCACCCCACAAACTTGCCCAAAAGGTAATGTTTAAAACCAAAAGGGGAAACCTAACTGGGGGACCCTGAGAAACCAGTTGATCAAGCTTGATTATAAAGAGCGACACATCCCCGTTCACTCCGCCAGATTGATTTAGGTCGACGGTCCCCAGAAACAAAAACCCTTGCCGGCACAAAAACAAAGGCAAACCTCAACACCGAAACAGAAGTTTGTGACCATAGGCAAAAGCACATTATTGCATGTTGCTGAAGTTGGTTGCAGCCTTACCAAGTTGCCTGCCTCCTTCAGCGGCGGATTTGGGAGTGATTCTCTTCTGCCTTGAGAGAAACTCACAAACCTCATGCTGCTTGAAGGACGGGGCCGATTGTTCAAAAGCGCTCTGACTTTTTTTAGCAACCCTCCCATGTGAGGTCCGTAACTGCAGGAGGCTGCAGTTAAATAGGATGTAGTGCACTGACGAATTACTAGAAGCGGCCTATAAGAATTCGGGGATCCTTGGGCTGTCCTCAGATTTTCTGGTGAACTTCTCAAAGTGACCCTTAAAAAAACCTGAAAAACCCCCACGGCGAGCAACCAAAAGCCTGAGCTGGTGCTACTCCCAGCTCCTAAGTTGTGTGCAAAAAACGCCCCTGGAAAGCGAGCTTTGTATCCAGGAACCCCCGAAAGTGGCAACTCCCTTTGGTTTTTTTTTAGCTTTGAAAGACAACCCGAAAAGGCCTTGGGTTAAACCCAATACCAGTGGCCTGCCTTCTGTTGAGGCTGCCCCCCTTTTTGGGGGAAACCAAAAGGAAAAAACCACCCTCTCTCTTTTTTTGGGGGGGAAGGGGCCTGCGCAACCTGGAAACAAGTGGCTGATAGCAGCGCTTGATCACGCCGTTGGCAACCTCGGTAGAAGGGAGGTAGCCCTTTGGGGCTGATGCAGAGTGCCTTTGCATGGGCTTTCTTTTTGAGGGGACCCCCCGTAAGCTGTGGGTTTCCCTTTGGTGTTCGTTTGAACCCACCCAAAAAGGGGTACCCTCGAAGAAAGACACACCGGCATCAGGTTGGCGTGTGAGCAAAAGACTGCGCTTCTTGGCGCCCACTAAATTAAGCATGGACAGAGCCATCTAAAAACCCGAGGCACATTGCCAAGAACCGTGAAGAAACCTGGTATACAAACAGGCCTAAGGCCTACCCACATCCATGCACAGAAATGAACGAGCGGCACCCGTTTATGATTGGGACTGTCCCCAACTATCCTCCGATTGCCCGAGTTTTTTACTCTGGCTCTGATGACACCGAAAAGGATCATGGAAAATCCTGCTCAGCAGAAAATGAAGCAGCATGGCAAAAATGCTTCAACAACGGTTGGAATTCGGCATTTCCTGGAAGGTAAGTCAGATTCCAGCTTCTAAGGGGACGCCAGCCAGCTTAGCTTTGTGGTCAACCATCGACTGCCATGCAACGGAAACGTTGCAAGGGGCTGCAGAGCTTCCATTCAAGCTCTGCCGGACCTACTTACACTCGCCATTCCCGTGTACCATCCTCTATGGCAGGTGTAGATTTAGCCTCAATTATAGAAATTCTGGGCATCTGGCGCCCAGTTTATCTACCCCACCCCTTCTATTTCAATCGAAAAGGAACCTCATCGACTAACAAATGTTGCAATTAACCCTTTTCATTGGTACTTGAGGAGAACCCGCTCCAAAAAGTTGAACAAAGTCAATACACACACATTTTGCCACCAACAATTGGTTGGTGTCATAGAAAGTGGCCCTTAAAAGCATGTTCCCACAACCATGGTCTGGCTGCTGGAGCGCGCTTGCCCGTAATTAGGCTGCTCACACATGCTTTTGCTGGATGCTAAGCTTGATGATTCATGCCGTTTGTTCTCGCCCTTTCCCGGTTAGCATATGGCTGTGGCTCAAAAAACCGGTACCAACATGGAACCTTGGTAAGTGGACACATGGACCAAAACCCGCGTAACCCCTCCAGTTTAATTTTGAGCCACAGCCATATCTTCTGATCGGCAGCTTCAGCTGCTTTTGCCTGTGTCCATTGCGTCAATCACCGTCTACTTTGCTGATGCACTGATTGCCCCTATCGATAAAATCGCTCGATAGAGAGCTCAACGAGCAGCTCATGTGCGAGGCCATGGCAAATCGGAATCATTTCTGATAAGTCTTGGTACATTCAAATCGCTTGGGGAAGCGATGAAGAAAGGATGAAAGGAAGCCTTCTCGCTGAAGCAGTTTGCTGCTGCAGTGCGGCTCCCTAGGCCTTTTGCTTCTCAAATGACCCGCCAAGAATCCCCTTTGCAGGGTTGCCGACCGGAGACTTTCGCCCCTTTGCAGCTAAGCGGACTCAACATAGGATGTGGAACTCCCATGGATCGTGTCCTCCCTCCCACCAGACATGGGTTTCTGCACAGACCCCTGTAGAAAGACTGCAATCCCCTTGGAAAGCGCCTTTTTGCACTAACCCATGTTGGTGGGAGGGTAATTCTTCTTCCAAAAACTGGTCTTTCCCTCTAATTCCCCGCAACTGTCCCTTTCAACCACCCTTTCGCCCAAAACAAAAAGAAACAAACCCACCCGGCCATATCGGTACCTGTCTCCAAAAGGGGCGCCACCTCCAAAACAGGGACAAGCCAAACAAACGCCCCCTGGATCCGACCTTCCCGCAAACATTCCTCAACAAACAGGGCAAAACAACAAAAAAAAAACAAGCATCCCGCCATTTGCCCCTTCTTCCCCTTGAAAAGAAATCGGCTTCCATTCTCCCCCTTTCCCCCGACTCGTCCGTTCTCCGCTGCTCTCCGCGCAAAACGCGCCTCCAGCATCTTCTCCCGGAGCCCCGGGAAGCGCTGCAGCTCCCAACACTCCGCCTGCGACGCCAGGTGCTTCAGCTCTTCAAAGACCAAAGTCACGCACTCCTCGATCGGCTCGGGGCGGTTCGCGCGACTAGCACGCAGGTTCTCGAAAAGCGAAAAGCAGGTCGGCGGGCCGAAAAGCGAAAAGGACGAATCGGGCGATTTATATCGCTTGGCTTCCTCTGGGGCAGTATCGCCTAGATAAGCCTAGATAAGCCTAGCCCAACGCCGCCGTTGCCAAATTGTTCGCCCGGCTGCTGGGGGAGGATGGCTCGAAGGTTCCAGCGAGGCGACCGCAACCCACTTCGCGACTTTCGAAAGTGAGATGAACAACAAACAACGGGGAAAAAGAGGCCGGGAGGGATCTGGAGGAAACAAAAACAGACGCAAAAGTGAATGGTTTTCTATGTGACTAGTGGAGGCTCCAAAAAGGGAAATGGTTCGGAAACCCCGATTTATCTTGCGAAAGTGTATTGATTCGGGTCTACCTACGATTTCATGACTCAAAGTGAATTGGGAAAAACAGATGTGAAGCTCTTGATACTGTGGTAGGTGGGTTTAAAGTTGAAAGGGGAACTCGTTGGAAATTGGCCAAGCTGATGTTGAGACTTGCAAATGAAACAAAGGGAACCACTTAGGTTGTAGCCAGGGATACAAGTGTGAGGGTGTGGTTGACTTGCAACTCTTGTTATAACCTACTTGACAATTTGAGGAGCCATTGCTTTCCGCTTGCAATGGCAAAAGGCCAACTTCCAGGTAGAAAAAAACAGGCCTAAATGGGAATTTGTCCCCCCTGACATAGGACTTTTGGCGATGGGTTGCGTGCGATTTTTTTAGGGTACCCCTTTTGGGGTAGTGTAAAGCGACACCACAAGGAACACCACCATTTTGCGGGGTCCGCCTAGTTTGACTCAAGTCCATTTGGCGCTGAAACCACTGCTCAAACAGCCACATGGCACGCTTCTCTTTAAAGGGGCGCGGAAGCGCGGAAGCGCCCTCCTGGCTACCGGGCCTTCCGGGAGGTGCGGATCGGCTTCCCTAAACCCAAGGGCCTAGGGCCCCACATGGAGCCACAGGTTCCGAAATAGATCGGAATGAACTGGGGCATGCGCAAGCCCTCGGAGGGCTAGTTATGGGGGAAATGTGGCTGGCTCGGAAGGGCAAGGGGCTATGGTCGTCCGAAGATGGCCATTTCATGAAGGGCTTCCTTTTGAATGCCGCGGTGTTTGGGAAAGCCATGGTGGAAAATAATGATTCAACAAGGATTACATAGGCCGTGTTCGGGATCACAGACACGCGCACCATTCCCCTATCTCAATTCGGTTTTCCAAAAGATCCCCCTCACCACCAAACTCCCCTTTTCCATCCCCAGGCCTCCCACGCCCCCAGACTCCCCACCTCCAGCCCCACCTCCCAACGCCCCACGCCCCCAACGCCCCACCTCCCAACGCCCCCCTCCCGCCCCACGCCCCCGACGCGAGACGCCCCACGCCCGCCCCAGGCCCGGGGCGCCAGCGCGGGGTGCTCCAACTTCTGGATTTGTCGCTTCACCATCCGCTCGAAGGCCACCTCCGGCACGAAGAGCTGCGGCTTCGGACCCGCCGCGTTCCTCGAACCGAGAAAAACGAGAGCCGAAGGCGCGCGGTTCAGCGAGGCCTTTGGCGGGAGCTTGGCTTTGAAAAAAAAGGACGGGGATGCCACCCGCCCCTTCAGTGCTTAGAAAGACTGTATTTGAAGGAAGACAATTTGCCAGGAGGAGGGTTTGTTTAATGTTGGTACCCATTTATTTGTTGGTCGTCTTAAAAGAAAACAAATGGAAAACCAAAGTCATTTTGGGGGGATCTTCTGACAACAAAGGACACTCCCGTACGGCAAGTGAAGCTCTGGGATAAAAGGCATGTGTGTGTGTGTGTGTCTGGTTTCCTTTGCTGTCGTTTGTCTTGTACCTTTTCCCAGAGATTCGCTGCTCAGATTTTGCAGCGATTGTTGCGATTGGGCGTTGGCATGATGATATAGATCACGATATGCCAAAACTATCTATCTATCTATCTATCTATCTATCTAACTATCCATCCATCCATCCATCCATCCATCCATCCATCCATCCATCCATCCATCCATCCATCTATCTATCTGAGCTGTCTAATCTATCAATTCTATCTCTTCTATTATATTCTATGTGATCTATGTGATCTATTTAATATATCTAATATGTCTAATCTATCTAATCAACTCAATCTATCAAATCTATCTAATCCATCTGCTTTCTCTAAACTATCTAATCTATCTAATCTATCTAATCAACTCAATCTATCAAATCTATCTAATCCATATGCTTGATCTAAACTATCTAATCTATCTAATCTATCTAATCAACTCAATCTATCAAATCTATCTAATCCATCTGCTTGATCTAAACTATCTAATCTATCTAGTCTATCTAGTCGATCTAATCCATTTAATCTATCTAATCTATCTAATCTATCTATCTATCTATCTATCTATCTATCTATCTATCTATCTATCTATCTATCTATCTATCTATCTATCTATCTATCTATAGATTTCTCGATCTATCTATATCTATCTAATCGATCTATCTATCTATCTATCCATTCCATCCATCCATCCATCCATCCATCCATCCATCCATCCATCCATCCATCCATCCATCCATCCATCGATCGATCGATCGATCGATCGATCGATCTATATATTTATCTACCTATATCTATCTAATCCATCCATCCATCCGTCCGTCCGTCCGTCTGTCTGTCTGTCTATCTATCTATCGATCGATCTATCTATCTATCGATCGCTCTATCTGTCTATCTGTAAATATATAAATATGCATATGCATAAATGCGTGTGGTATGGTTTGTCGTCGGTTGCCTTGGCACTTGCCATCCCCCTCCCCCCTCACCCGGACAGAGCGGATGCTCAACCTAGGCCTTCCTTTGCCAGGTACCTCGATTTTCGGCATCCAAACTGGCAGGGGATCTGTGCCACGAAATCTGCGCTGGCAGTTGGGAAGACAATGGCCCCAATACTGGTCGTTCTGGTTGAGGGAACCAGCAGAAAGGCAACTGCCAGTTGGGATGGACGCCCCGATGGTTGAGAAGACAATCCCTGCGCATGGATTTCGTCCAACCACCCAAGCCCATTTTGTTGAAAATCCCGGGAACGCCGCTGAGCTATTGCCTTCTCCCCCCCCCCCAAACCCCAACCCCCGAACCCCCTGACCCGAGCCCCTCGAAACCCAAAAGCCCAACACCTCCAAGCCTCCAACGCCCCCAAGCCTGGCCTCAACCCCCTAACAACCCCCCCCCCGTCCAAACACTAACCTCACAAAACCACACCCAAAAAAAAACAACCTCAACCCCCCCAAAATAACCACAACACCCTTCCAACGCCACCAAACCACGAAAAAAAACGCCCTCCCCTCCCCAAAAAAAAACTCTCTCCCCCCTCCCTCCCCCCATCCCGTCCCCCCGCGCCTCATGTCCACGCGGATGTCCATGTCGGACAAGCCGCTGAAGGCGTCGAATTCCAGCACCGCCTGCTGGAAGCTCCGGTGGAAGATGTGGTGGATCCGCGCCCCGCCCACCAGCTTCCTCGAGGCTGGTTGGTTTATTTCGGTTTCTGGGCTGCCCGTGTTCGGATCCCTCGATGGCATGCGTTTCTGGGCCCGTGTTCGGATCCTTAGATACCCCGCCAAAAGTTCTTCACTGTTAGTGGGTTAAATGGAAACTACCACACAGCTTCCTCGAGGCGCACTTTTTCTCTTTCGTTCGGTTTCTGCCCGTTTTCGCTTTGATCAGATCCCGGCGAAAAGTGTTTGACTCACTTTTTAGTGGGTGAAATTCGGAGACTACCACTAAACGCTAAAAGGCTAAAGTGACTCACTTGTAGTGGGTGAAATTCGGAACCTACCACTAACACTAAAAGGCGAAAAAGCTCAGGAACCGGATGGCTGGAAGCCACCAAGGTTTCTTTCGCTCATTCGCTCGCGCGGATCGAGAACGCAGAGAACGCGACCGAAAAGAGCGCCGCGAGGCGAAAAAAAATGTCCGGAGGCCCAATGCCCAGCTGGCGGTGCGGATGGGCGAACAAGCAGGCGGGCGGTTTGGTCAATCCAAGATGACTTGAATTGGCCTCACCCCGCAAGTACCTTCCACGGGGGGAACAAAACAACGCCCTGAGTTTGACAACCAACACTTCAGCCAAATGATAGGCGCTGGCTGCAGAAGACTGCGGACTGTGTCAGCGTCGTCAGCTGCATCTCTAGTTGCGCCTGCCTTTGGATCTAGCACCCTCAAGGGAATACCAGGAAGAAGGAAGGAGAAGCAGAACCAAAACAAGAACCAACCACATCAGACACATTAACCAAAACGATACAGCGATACAAATGACAATTGTGGAAAGTGCGGAAGAAAAAAAAACACTGGCAAAACAACGCTACTAGACAGATCGCAAACAAACACAACAGGAGAAACAGAAGAGGAGCCGAAGAGCCACCAAAAGAAGACAGGCAAGGAGCAACAAAATGTGCGCATAAGCATAAGAACGCACAGGGGAAGCAGACAACTGAGGGATAGCACCAACAAGCGCGCACAGCCTAAGACTAAGCAAACGGAGAAGATCAGATGAAATGCATCGCAGAACACTGATCGGAAAACGCATCAACAAAGCAAGAAACACGAGCCAGACCAACCACAACCCGCCAAACCACACCAAGCCACGTCAACCCACACCTACCCACACCAGACCACCCAAACCACCCAAACCACCCAAACTACGGGCAACCCCGAAGTCCCGAAGCCGAGAGAGCCCCCTTCGGCCGAGCTTCGTGGAAGTGTCCCTCTCCTTGCCCCGGCCCTCCAGGAGATCGCAGAAGTTCCGGACCTCACGTCCAATGCCGAGCTCGTCGGCTTCTTTCGGGGAGGCTTGCTGAGGGTTTTAGGCTGCTCGGCGGTTGATCTCTGGGCTTGTTTGAAAGTGGGAGGGCACCCAACACGGCTTCTCCCTAAAGGAACCATAGACAAGCAATCGTGTCAGTGGCGAGCCATATGGGTGTGCCAGAATGTTGCTGGAGATGGCACCTTCTTCTTGTTTGCGCGTTTTGCAAGGACACCAAATGGGACAAGCATCATTTTGTGGCGGGGAGGGGGGGCCCTCGCAAACGTGGGTGGATCGTTCAACACCTGAAGGGTGCCCCGAGTCCATCTTCACGTGAACCAAAAAGGTACCCTCCGCCCATGGCACTGGACTGAGGAATCGGAAGACGGCCATGGTTTCAGGTGGGAAACACAAGCTCACAAGCTCCCGGCCTGGAAATGTCCGTAAAATACCTGGCAAAATCCAAACCTGGTATTGGTGTACCCAAAACCATGTAAAGAAAAGGGTAACAAAAAGGCCGAGTGTGCCAACTCAGAGTCACCATCCGACCTTGAGGCGGAAGGGTTCTGGATTGTAGCAAACGCGGCCTGGACATGTGGAAAATACCTGGCATCACATTCAAAACCTGACATTAAAGCGGTGTGCCCAAAACCATGTAAAGAAAGAAAAGGGCAGTCGCGCCAATCTATCCCTTAACCTTCTGCCCTGGTGATTGTGGCTCAACAGGTAACCCCAGCGCATCCGTGGCCCCCGCGTATCCGGAAATGAGGTGCAGCAGGTAGGGACCCTCGCCCATGCGCTCCAGGCTTTCGTCGCCCAGGCCTCCAGGAAAAACAAACAGCAAAGCCATGACAGGAAGTGTGAGGGAAAAGGAGCAGAGTTCTTTCAAGATGCAGAACTGCCAATGGGCCAACTGTTGTCTTGTGGTTTGCTTGTGTCTCCAAAGAAAAAAAAGAAGGGCAACCCTGCCAAGCAATTAAGAAAACAAGCCAGCCAAGGGAAACACACACACACACACACCGGTTGGGTCCATGAAAGTGGGTCAAAGGCATTCACCCTAAACCTCTCACCCTAAACCCAGCCCCACAACCCCCTCCCCGCCCGAATTCCACTTTGGGGCCCCAACTCTCCAACTCCTCCCTGCAGGCGTCCGCGAGTTGCTGCATGTCGCTGCGCAAGCCTCAGAATCGAAGGCGTTTTGTCCGCCGAAAGCTGTGGGATGTCGTGCCCCAATGGCTCGGGTCGAGTGAGAAACCCAAACCGCCAGCTTCGGGTCAACATCGGGTCCGTGAAAAATCGAGTAGGCCCGAGCAAGGGCGACTTTCCCCATTCTTTCCCGGGATCATTCTTTCCAGCAAACCAAACACCTGGGGAAAACAGCGGGATTGGAAAGAATCGGGGGGGGGACAACCCCGGGAAGGTGTCCTTTCATGGATACTCAAAACGGGGGAACCTCACATCCCCACACAAAGCATCACATCGGAGCAGCGATGCGATCGCAAGTCGGGAAGTTTGGAAGGGCAAACAGCCACCAGTACCATCCCCAATGACTTTCGGACCAGAAAGGGGACCTGCTTGTGCTGCTTGATGTTCACGGGCGACCCACCCCAGACAAAGCATCAACAGAGAGTGACACTGCACAACTGGGCGACAAGTAGACTCCGGCTCTTGCCACACGCCACCAACTAGAAAGCGTCCAATCTAAAATACCAAACCCATCCAAAACAGAGAGCGCCGTTGAAGACAGCTCAGTCAGAATCAAAGCCTGATATATGAAGGGGGTATCGCCCAAACCCGTGGTGAAGAATCAAACGGAACTTGCTGCGCATGTTTTACGGCAAGGGGGCTGGGCCTCAATCACACTTGACTTCCTCTCCCACCCATAGGGAACCCAAAGGGTCTCTTTTAAAGGGACGGGGTCTTCCAGGAACCCCGGTCATGTTTCATGTTTGTTCCGGCAGCAACTTCCCCCAATTTTGGAAAGAATCCTCCTGTCACTCAAAACCAGGGAAAAACAGCGGGGTTTTAGAAAAGCACGATGGTTGAAACGAATGGAAAAGGAATCACCCCCGAGATCAGAAAATTGCAAACCCTTGCCATGGTTGCAAGTTTTCCGAATGGGAGATATAACCAGGGTTTCTAACCAGTTGGCCAAGTCGCCTGCTAACTAGGCTGTTCGAAGTCGAGGCTTGGCCAATTCGAATCCATCCGACCACATCACCCCCTAAAAGCAACCCAGGTTCGGGGTGTGTGGCTTGCCTAACAGCCCAGACTCACCGCTTGCCTTCTGTTTACCGCTTTAAAACGGCAACCCAACCCAAAAAGTGACTACTAAAGTGTCCGAAAGATTCGGAAACTCAGGGAGTGAGACGCTAAGAACACCAGACTCACTCCCTGGAAAAATGAGTGAGGAGAACATATGTCCAGCAGCGGAGAAACAAAAAACTTTTGAGACCAACCAGGGAAAAGAACAGACATTCATTTCAGCAAGCGGAAGAAATCCCTCAACGACCAAGTCCCCCAGTGTCGCTCGCTCCGCTCGCTCCCTCCAATCCCGTCTGCCGGGGCACTGGGGAGGGCCGCTTTGATGTGCTCCAGCAGCAGCAGATTCAGCCGCTGGGCCAAATTCGGGATGCCGCACTGCGCCTCGCGAACGGGTGAGTTAGTGGTAAATGAGTGGTAAATTAGCCAAACCTTAGAGTAAATTAGTGGTAAATAAGCTCTAAATGAGGCGCCCGTTTTCGGATCCTCCTCGAAAAGTGAATAACTTGTGGGCACACTTCGGAAAACCAAAAAACAACACTAAAAAGCTAAAAAGCTAAGGGGGTGGCTGGGAGCCACCAAGTTAAGAAGAGCCCAGACTTTCTGCATCTCGCTAGAAAGAAAACCCGGAGAAACTGCCTGGACTCCTAAAGCTGCCTCTGGAAAAGTTCGAAGAAGGAAAGAACAGAGAAACAGTCTGGATCCACATCAATCTGGATTTGAAAAGAATGATCAGCCTTCTCTGGATGACCAGCGGTGGCTTGTAAGCTGCACAAGGACATGTTCTGCTCATGCCCCCGAATCCAGACCCCAGACAACCGGGGTAACTCTTCCAAAGGTCTTGTTCCTCACTTGCCCGCCTTGGACCTGGACATGAAAGGTGATCACCTGTTGGGGCCAAGACTAGAAATGGGAACCCAAACTGGCCCAAACTGGGACAAGTGGGAAAAAACCCTGAACATGAACCTTTTGGGGCCCTTTTGGGCCACGAACCCAAACTGGGAAGACCAAAAAAAACATTTCAGGTTCATTTGCTTTGACACCTGCGATCTCCTGTGCGGGCCAAGGCTCAAAACATCACCCGGGAACCGACGCACTTCACCCCTTGGATCGGGACCAAAAAGTTGGTCCGGTGTTTGTGGGAAGAGGGTGCACTTTGAAATCCGAACCGGAGAGAAACAAAAAAGACAAGACATGTACCATGTGTATGCCCATGTGTCTATATATTATGTATATATATATATGTATGTGTGTATATATATATATATGCATATGTGGGTGTCTCTTTTCGAGGGGACCCCTTTTGCGGTCGTCTCGAAGGGACACCAGAAGGAAAACGTCTCTTTCCCTTGGGGAGGGGTCCCCTAAAAACGACGCAGACCCACATCTACCACTGCTCAAAGCTCGGCAAAGTTGGCCAATCACGGCGAAGGAGTCTCACAAGTTGCCGGGTGAAAATCTTCAATCCAGGTCGGTGTGTGTGTGTGTGTTGCTGGAGAAATTGTGGTAATTTCAACAGGGCACTTGGTGGACATGGGGATTCATGTCCATGCTTCCGCCCTGAAACTCGCAGCCTGACTGATAGCGGAGATTCCGGAGATGAAACCAGAAAACAAATAACAGATTCCTAAGTCTGATTCCTCAGCCTGTATGATTGCAGCCGCTTTACGAGCGAGTGACACGATACAGGAAAACCATAGGCAGGCAAAAGCTTTCAAGGCAAATCCAACACCTTACCGAAGCCCGCGATTCCGATGCTTCACCCGCGATTCCACGCCAAATGCAAGACGTGCTGTGGTCCGGAACCACTTGAGGCGTCCACGGAACTGAAGGATTCGAGTCGCGCTTTCGATAGGGCTCTAGAGGGAACAACCAGAACTCATGAACCGTCCCAAAATTGGCTAGGAGCCTAAGGAACCTTCAGCCGGGTCCTTCACCCATATCGGCCACACTCTGCAGATCGGCCTGCAGCGGTTGTAGCCGCACGTGCCGCGCAAAGAAGTCGTGCTCGCTTTTCAGCGCCTCCTCGAAAGTTTTGCCTCGCGAAAGCGGCGGGAGATCCACCCCACGAGTTGAGTCTAAGGCAATATGGCAAGCATGAGGAATTGCAGGGCTTCCGTCCTACTGCAATATCCGCCGACATTGCTCGGCGTGTCGGATACTTACTAGAGGATAGAGGATAACCCCCCCCCCTAACCCCCCCCCCCGCCCGACGTCTATTACGTAGGTGGGGGGTCCCCCACGTACCGCGCGGCAATTTGATGACGTTCCACTAAACGTAGTCTTCGGGGAGCCGGTGTCGCAAAACAGGGGTCCCAGGCTCGATTCCCCCTGCCGGCTTTTTTGCTGGCTTGGGCTTCCTGCATCCTTTTGCCGAAAATCTGGAAAAACTCAATGTTTTTGGACGTCCTCTTTGCGAAAACGCTGGAAAAACCGTGTTTTTTTGCGGGAAATACATACATACATGCATGAATGCATGCATACATACATACATGCATGCATACATACATGCATACATGCATACATGCATACATACATACATACATACATACATACATACATACATACATTACATACATACATACATACATACATACATACATACATACATACATACATACATACATACATACATACATACATACATACATACATACATACACATACATACATACATACATACATACATACATACATACATACATACATACACATACATACATACATACATACATACATACATACATACATACATACATACATACATACATACATACATACATACATACATACATACATACATACATACATACATACATACATACATACATACATACATACATACATACATACATACATACATACATACATACATACATACATACATACATACATACATACATACATACATACATACATACATACATACATACATACATACATACATACATACATACATACATACATACATTACATACATTACATACATTACATTACATTACATACATTACATTACATTACATTACATTACATACATTACATTACATTACATACATTACATACATACATTACATTACATTACATTACATACATTACATTACATTACATACATACATACATATACACATACATACATACATACATACATACATACATACATACATACATACATACATACATACATACATACATACATACATACATACATACATACATACATACATACATACATACATACATTACATACATACATACATACATACATACATACATACATACATACATACATACATACATACATACACATACATACATACATACATACATACATACATACATACATACATACATACATACATACATACATACATACATACATACATACATACATACATACATACATACATACATACATACATACATACATACATACATACATACATACATACATACATACATACATACATACATACATACATACATACATACATACATACATACATACATACATACATACATACATACATACATACATACATACATACATACATACATACATACATACATACATACATACATACATACATACATACATACATACATACATACATACATACATACATACATACATACATACATACATACATACATACATACATACATACATACATACATACATACATACATACATACATACATACATACATACATACATACATACATACATACATACATACATACATACATACACACATACATACATACATACATACATACATACATACATACATACATACATACATACATTATACATACATACATACATTACATACATACATACATACATACATACATACATACATACATACATACATACATACATACATACATACATACATACATACATACATACATACATACATACATACATACATACATACATACATACATACATACATACATACATACATACATACATACATACATACATACATACATACATACATACATTACATTCATACATACATACATACATACATACATACATTACATACATACATACATACATTATGTACATGCATACATTATGTACATACATACATACATACATACATACATACATACATACATACATACATACATACATACATACATACATACATACATACATACATACATACATACATACATACATACATACATACATACATACATACATACATACATACATACATACATACATACATACATTACATTACATTACATTACATTACATTACATTACATTACATTACATTACATTACATTACATTACATTACATACATTACATTACATTACATTACATTACATTACATTACATTACATTACATTACATTACATTACATTACATTACATTACATTACATTACATTACATTACATTACATTACATTACATTACATTACATTACATTACATTACATTACATTACATTACATTACATACATACATACATACTTACTTACGTACTTACTTACTTACTTACTTGCTTACATACATACATACATACATACATACATACATACATACATACATACATACATACATACATGCATGCATACATACATACTTATGTACATGCATGCATACATACGAGAGAGGGAGATTGGGGAGAGAGAGGCTTGGGGGGATGGGGAGGATGGGAGCCGAGAGAGGGAGAGAGGACGACAGAACACACAAGGGAGACAAGGAAGAGAGGAAGAAGGAGAAAAGGGAGAGGACAATGTCGGCGGACTGAGCCGGAGGCTCTAAAGTTCTGGGGAGTCAACCACAAAACATGCAAGTCCCCATACCAGATGTCTCTGGCATTCTATGCAAGAGGTCCTCCGTCTGGTTCCTAGGAGGCAAATCACGTCCGACCTGTCTCCTTCTCCTCCCCGGGGCGGAAGGGGGGTCTGGATTGTCGCAAAGGGGCCTGGAAGATTGTAGAACAACTGCATCCTCATGTGAGTCAAACTCAAAACCTTGTATTAAACTGCGGTGTACCCAAACTCATGTGGGTGGGAGGCATGGGACATGACTTGGGGGCGGGGTGTCAAACTAGGTGGCCTTTGTGGATTTCTCTTTCTTTGCGAAAATCCCCAAAGATTGGTTGACATTTAGTCTTCCTTGAAACAACCTTGAACTAGGTACTGTACTAGGTAGCATCAAAAACACGCCCTCGCAGCCTTATCCAGCACTAACAACAACATCAACAACCACCACAACCGCCAAAGGAAACTGACTTTAAATTTGACCTTGCTTTACAACCCCGCGTTTAAGTTGACTGAACCAATCGCCACTCGTGCAAGACAAACACGTAGCCTGCCAGCAAGCCACCCTCTCCCACCAGAGAGTGTTTGGCGCTGTCCCAAATGGTCCTTCATTCGGAATACCACAACAAAGGGGACCCTCAGAAAAAGACACTCCCACCTCAAGGGTGGTGCTGGTTCCCCGGCTAAGAAGAGCAAGAAAATAGGGTGCCAGCCCCCAGCTTAACCAAACTCCCTTTACCCCCAAAAAAGGCGGCGGAATCGAGCTCGGAAAAGCGTCATAAAATCCGCAGACGTGTTTGCCCAGATCTTTTGGGGGCCCTTTAACGGCATATTTGATCGACTCCCATGGATCTTTGCAGGATCTTTTCCATGGCAGATCCCTCGTTTTGGCGCCTCAGAAAATCGGATCCAAACCGATGGATCCGATCCAAACCATGGATCCGCATTTTTTTTCCCCAGATCTGTTGGACGCTTTCACGGAATAATTGATCCACTCCCATGGATCCATGGATCCAAACCGATCCAAACCGATCCATCCGATGGGGCCCCGCCTGCTTGGCTGTCCTGCTCGCTGCGGCACACCACTGCGGTGTAGCCCAGGCGCAAGGGGTAGGTCTCCCCCAGCAGCGCCTCCACCGCAGAGCCCTCCGCCAAGTCGAACCTCACGCGACCCGAAGCCGCAACCGGGTGACGAGTGGAGCCGCAACCGGGCGGCTTTTTTGTGGCGTTTAAGGGAGCCCAAAGGGAAAACAGACCAAGAAGCGTGGGGTCCAAGCTTCAAAAAGTGAACCAAATGGAAAATCAGCTTTTGGAAGCTTCTGGGAGTTGGGTCAAAAGATTACCTGCTGAGGATTTTTTGGTTTTGGGATGGCTGGGATTTGTCCTTGGAAAACCACTCGCTGTTGAGGATTCCCCTCGAGGTTCTGGGCGTGATGGAGATGCTTGTGCATCTCTCAACTACCGGGGTTCCTCCTTGGCATCACTTGATGGTTTGGCTTCCGGCTCCGAATGCCAGCCTGCCGGGAGCCTGCCATGTTCAGAACCGCGGACTTATGGGAAAATCCTTGTGATGTCTACTGGTGTGAGAAATCTTCCCAACTCAGACTGTCCATGAACGTGACATGCCAAAAGTTGCCCGCTCCAGATGGTGGTTTCAATGGATACCAGCCCAGACGTAATTTTGAGAACTCTCAAAATGTAACCACCTTTCAGAGACCCAGAACGATTTGGGCGTGTCTTTCTTTAGGGGGACCCCAAAAAACAGGCGGATGTGTGTTTGGTTTCCCCTTTAAAACCCAACAAACGTGTGCTCCCTCAAAAAAACATGAGGGCACCCGTTGTTTCGTGGTTGTAAAAGGGAAACCAAACTAAAACCACAAGAAAACCACAATCCTCTTTTTCTTTGGGGGGGGGTTCCCCCAAAAAAAAGAGCCACCCATGTCGAGGTGTCCTTCTGCCGGGTTCCCCAAGCGAAACGCGAAACGCGGGGCTTCCGAGGCGCTTGGTGAGGACCCCCAGCGTGCGCTCGCCCGCTGGGTCCACCTCCCTCGCCAAGGCCAGCGCGTCGGAGGTGGCCAGGTCCACGTTGGCGGCGGAGACCGCCAGGATGATGGTGCTCTTTGGGGCCTCAAACGACCGGAAAACGGGGGAGGGATGAAACAATTGCGGATGGTTCAACGAACAATTGGGCATGGCACAATTGGGGGATGAAACAATTGGTGCTCTTTGGGGCCTCACACCACCAGAAAATGGTGTGTGTGTGTGTGTGTGGATGTGTGGATGAAACGATTGGGCATGGCTCTTCGGGGCCTCGACCCAACAAAGGAGGGGAATGGCCTCAAGGCCATTAGAATCCCATCTTTCCCATAGGCCTCATGGTCTCAGCAACCCATCTTTTGGCCAAATCAGCGGAGACCGGCCTGAAACGACCAGAAAACGGGGGGGGGTGGATGATTATTTGCTGAGTCGTTTGTTCTAGAATACGGTTTGCTGGCTCTTTGGGGCCTAGGACCCAACAAAGAAATCTAGGATGATGGCGCCTCCAACGATGCAGGATGATGGCGCCTCACAAAACCCAGGATGATGGCGCCTCAAACGATGTAGGATGATGGCGCCTCAAACGACCCAGGATGATGGCGCCTCAAACGACCCAGGATGATGGCGCCTCAAACGACCCAGATGATGCCGCCTCAAGCGATTTAGGATGATGGCACCGCAAACGAGCGCTCAAACGACCCAGGATGACCTCGGTACTAAGCCTCGGTAGAATATTGAATAAGTACCAAAAGGACCCAGCAAAGAATCAAATACATGCTCAGGTATGGATTTTGGAGGTACGGAACTATATAGGGCTTCGAA